ATTTCATTTGGTACTTTGTTGCAAGTTGACTTACCGTGTGCATAGTGTTTTAGGTAAGAAGATGGTTACTTTATTCAGATGTCATGAATAATTATCCTCCAGATGTCGCATTTTAAGAATATTTCGATAATAATGACGTTATCTAAAGTACTATATAAATGCCCTGTTGATCAGCAAGATTCTAAGAATTCACCAGTTCACTTTCGCAGGTAAGTAAGAACCATTGTTGATGTTTTTCACAGTAGCTTGCGATTTTTTAACATCATCGTCCTATACTGGAATACTAAAGTGTTGGTATGCTTGGGTTAACAAACAACTATGTAGTTGGTCTCGTTTCACTGCATGAAACAAATGAATTTCTAACACCGCCAAAAGAAGAAAAATGCATACTTATTACAAAATGTCAATATGTTTCAGTGCAAAATGATCGTACAGGTGTTGCTCTCCGTTCTCCTGGTGTCAATCACTCTGACTGAAGGTAGTCGCATTCGAGGAGGAAACATTAGGGAAGCTTTTGAAGGTAATGAAAATGATTACTTTGCAAGTGATTGAGTGGCATTTAAATGACTAACAAAGCACTTTTGCGTTTATGTTACCATAAACCGAACAAAATTAGGTCAAATCCACAAACATACTACTGTTTCCTGATGGACTGATAATAGAAGGGGCGAGTGTGTGAAATGACCTTTGAACTTGACATTGTGAATAATTACAGTCTGTAACTAGCTTTTTATGACTAACATACTGTTTGGGCAACATAACCACCTGCCCTTGAATTCGATTAAACAATTCGAGACGGAAGGAGACAAACTGGCCCCATCTCATCCTTCAAATTGCGCAGCACGTCAAACATTAGGAACCTGTTTTATCACCAGTGGCGGATTTCATTCTTTAGGGCACTATTTCGCCTGTCAATTTTTATCGTATTTTTAATGGTACTTCCGTTTTTCAAATTAATTTTGGTCAAACATTTGTGATTAGGTATGTCTTAAAGTATGAAAATCTGCCCTTTAGTATGAAAATCTGCCCTTTAATGTGCCCTTTAAAAACAAAACAAGCATGTAATAGCATTCAGCTACGAATGCATCTCAAGAAAGGAAGACTATTCTTCCAATTAATCTTTTCTAGATATCTAGAATTGTTACAGTTGTCACAATCCATATACAGGAAACAGCTATTTTAGAATGGCTTCCTGATCACACTTAGTTTTCCATAGACGATATAGGAGGATAGGAGAAATATAGATTCATAGATCAAAACAACAAATATTTCACTAATAATTGTTAAATCTGTTACCATTAGAATCTTCCTCTGAATCATCCTCTGGTTCCTCTTCCTCATCATCCTCGGAATCAACAGAAGAAGTGAAGCGTGATACTGAAGGTAATCATGTAGTAAATGTTCAGTTTGAGAGGCGTGTTCTTCTGTTGCTCATCTAGTGCTATTTGACAGGTTATATAAGAAAGATGCAATCATCTCAACTGAAATGTTAGGAAAGACATATTCTTTGTGCTAAAAAGAATTTACATCTGTGAAAGTATTATCTAATTACCATCACTTGATGATTTGAGTGTGTGGGCGTCCCTAACCACAAAGGGACACTAATTTAGTTGAGGTATCAACACTGCTAAGAATGAAAAAGAAATTATTACTATACAAACAATTTCATTAATTTTATATGAAAAAAGTAACAACGGGGGACAGAACACCTTAATTTTGTACGAATGTCACTGATTTATACCTGTGCAATGTTTATGCAAGACATCGTGTGTTCTACCTGGTTAATCCGCAATCTTGAAAGTCATGTAGCAGCTTATTAGGTTAATACACACTATTTTGCCTTCCATTCATGGAACGGTTGAAATATCAAGACATACTGATGTCATCAACTCTTTATAATCGAACAAGGTTATTTCGAAATATGTATCTAAAAGCGTTATGAAGCCCACTCTCATTCTCTCTTTCTAACTTGTTTGTTATCCTTTTATTTACCTAGCACCAGCTCGTCAGGGTAACGTATGTTCCTCACTTGTCTGTGCATTTCAATGTCATACAATGGCTAGTTGACATGTTGAAGTACTTAATACTTGTAGAATCATCCTCTGAATCATCAGAATCGACAGAAGAAGATGATAGCAATGATGAAGGTAATCGTTTATCTAGGTTACATCACTTTTTGACAATAAGTAAGTGATGGCTGAGTGGGTGGTTTGACATCCGCAGTGAAAGTATCGTTGCAATATCATAATGAGAGAAAGCCTGATAATTATGTTCTGGCGTCTAGCCATCCCACATTACAGTGAAACAGATAAAAAGATGACGGTATAAACCATAGCCCTCAGCCTTCCGCGAATTGAAGCTTGTAAGTTTCTACTGACGCAGTTGCAGTCAGAAAACCCTTCATACGTGAAACATAGTTAAATGAGAATTAGTGTTTTACCAGTATGCTGGACAGTTCTTCCTTCGTTCTCTATTTTTTCTGTTTTATCCTTTCATGCATCAACCATTAGAATTTTAGGGAAACATGATCAAAGTATGTCTAGATTTATTTGTTATTACCTGAGCATTTGATAAGCAAATGTGTTAAATTATTCAATTTAGAATCGTCTTCGGAATCCTCCTCAGAATCGACAGAAGATGGTGACAGCAATGATGAAGGTATATTTCATGAGTATTCCATATACAAAAATACTACAAATTACCACTGCATCTCCAGAAATATAGATTATTCTTGTATGAGTTCACCCAACTAGATATATATAAATGTCGTAGTCGTCACTGAATCATATACTTTAACAGTTACTTAGAATGCCTCATCCCACACCTATGAATCATCAGAATCGACAGAAGAAAGCGAGAGCAACGATGAAGGTAATTGCATGTTGAGGCTCCACAGCACGAAGACTATATTTCCACGAGTTCATCTTTTTTAGATGTCCAGAACTGTGACAGTTGTCACTGTCGACATAATGGAAACAGTTTTCCATTGAAGATGTAGGAGGATAGGAGAAATATAGATTGATAGAACAAAACAACCAACATTTCACTAATATTTCTTAAATCTGTCAACATTAGAATCTTCCTCTGAATCATCCTCTGGTTCCTCTTCCTCATCATCCTCGGAATCAACAGAAGAAGTGAAGCGTGATATTGAAGGTAATCATTTAGTTAATGTTAAGGTTGAGAGGCGTGTTCTGTAGCTCATCTAGTGCTATTTGACAGGTAATATAAGAAAGATGCAATCATCTAAACTGATATGTTTCGAAAGACATATCCTTGGTGTTAAAAAGAATTGTCCATCTGTGAAAGAATTATCTAATTATCTGAGTGAAATGAGGACCAATGTAAACAAATCGTGTTTTATAATGACGTGAATGGAACCAAATCTTACATGGAAGGAACAATCTTTTGGACCATCACTTGATGATTTGAGTGTGTGGGCGTTCCTAACCACGACGGAGCAGTAATTTAGTAAAGACATCATCACTGATAAGAATGAAAAAGAAATTATTACTATACAAACAATTTAATCTCTTTTATCTGAAAAAAAGGCAGATCACCTTAATTTTGTATGAATGTCAATCATCTGTACCGGTGCAATGTTTATTCAATACACCGTGTGTTTTACAACCTGGTTAATCCGCAATCTTGAAAGCCAAATAGCAGCTTATTAGGTTTATATACACATTGTTTTTCTTCCATTCGTGGAACGGTTGAAATATCAAGCCATACTGATGTCATCAACTGTTTACAATCAAACAAGGTTATTTCAAAATAGGTATCTTATGGCATTAGGTAGCCCGCGATCATTTTCTCTTTCTAACTTGTTTGTTATCTTTTTATTTATCTACCACCAGCTGTTCATTGTAAATGATGTTTCCTTGTTTATCTGTGCATTCTTATGCCACACAAAAACACGACAAATGTGTCATAGCGTCTGTGTTACCAATACATCTCAAGAAATGTAGATTATGTTTGTATGTGTTCACCCACTTAAATGTCTACAAATGTCGCAGTCGTCACTGAATCATGTACTGTAACAGTTACTTAGAATGACTGGCCCCACTGCTATGTGATGGCTAGTTGACAGGATGACGTGCCTTATATTTACAGAATCGCCAAAAGAAAGAAAGAGAGCAACGATTAAGGTAATTGAAAGTTGAAAACATATTAAACATCCTCTGTATTGTCCATAATTGTTAAACTTTGTTGCAAGGTGTTATTGCCAATGTGTAAAATACTGCAGCAATAACACGATGACGGACAAACAAGGAAAACTCTACACGTCATAGCATCTTGCTATCCTGGAATCTGAAGAAAACAATAATGGCATGATGCCATAAACCGCTCCCTTTTTCATTCAGGAAAATATTCTACACGTTATGTTTTAAGTATCCTTTTAAGTATCTACCAACAGTTTCTCAGGTATAAAATGTTTGATGTTTCTCTCGTTCTCATTCAATGTTGTGGCTATCTGACATGATAATGTGATTTATTTGAGAACCATCATCCGAATCTTCCGAATCGACTGAAGAAAGTAAGAGCAACGACGATAATAATCCTGTATTCAGGATTGATGTTAGAAATCGACTGTGAGAAGTGAATGTGATGTTTAATGCCCGTTTAGGGATTATTGTTACATTTTTAGGGCGATTGAGGGAATGCTACCCTGGCATCTGTTGATTGAGTGAGTGAGTTCGTATGGTTTGACGCCGCTTTTAGTAATATTCCAGCATTATCAGGGCGGAGAACACCAGAAATGGGCTTCAAACACAGTAACCATGTAGGGAATCGAACCCGTGACGAACAAACGCTTTAACCACAAGGCTAACCCAAGAATGGCCAAGAAATGTAGATTATTCTTGTATGTGTTCATCCTCTTAGATATCTATAAATGTCGCAGTCGTCACTGAATCATGTACTGTAACAGTTACTTAGAATGACTGGCCCCAGTGCTATGTGATGGCTAGTTGATAGGATGACGTGCCTTATATTCACAGAATCGTCCTCTGAATCATCAGAATCGACAGAAGAAACTGAGATTAAGGAAAAAGGTAATCGTTTATCTAGGTTACATGTTAAAAGAAAATCACTTTTGACAATAGGTAAGTGATGGCTGAGTGGGAGGTTTAACTTCCGAAATGAAATGATCCTTGAAATATTACAATGAGAGAAAGCCTGCAAAAACACGACAAATGTGTCATAGTTACCGTGTTACCAATGCATCTCAAGAAATGTAGTTTATTCTTGTATGTGTTCATCCTCTTAGATGTCTCAAATGTCGCAGTCGTCACTGAATCATGTACTGTAACAGTTACTTAAAATGACTGGCCCCACTGCTATGTGATGGCTAGTTGACAGGATGACGTGCCTTATATTTACAGAATCGTCCTCTGAATCTTCAGAATCGACAGAAGAAACTGAGATTAAGGAAAAAGGTAATCTTTTATCTAGGTTACATGTTAAAAGAAAATCACTTTTGACAATACATAAGTGATGGCTGAGTGGGAGGTTTAACTTCCGAAATGAAATGATCCTTGAAATATTACAATGAGAGAAAGCCTGCAAAAACACAACAAATGTGTCATAGTTACCGTGTTACCAATGCATCTCAAGAAATGTAGATTATTCTTGTATGTGTTCATCCTCTTAGATGTATCAAATGTCGCAGTCGTCACTGAATCATGTACTGTAACAGTTACTTAAAATGACTGGCCTAACTGCTATGCGATGGCTAGTTGACAGGATGACGTGCCTTATATTTACAGAATCGTCCTCTAAATCTTCAGAATCGACAGAAGAAACTGAGATTAAGGAAAAAGGTAATCTTTTATCTAGGTTACATGTTAAAAGAAAATCACTTTTGACAATACGTAAGTGACGGCTGAGTGGGAGGTTTAACTTCCGAAATGAAATGATCCTTGAAATATTACAATGAGAGAAAGCCTGCAAAAACACAACAAATGTGTCATAGTTACCGTGTTACCAATGCATCTCAAGAAATGTAGATTATTCTTGTATGTGTTCATCCTCTTAGATGTATCAAATGTCGCAGTCGTCACTGAATCATGTACTGTAACAGTTACTTAAAATGACTGGCCTAACTGCTATGCGATGGCTAGTTGACAGGATGACGTGCCTTATATTTACAGAATCGTCCTCTAAATCTTCAGAATCGACAGAAGAAACTGAGATTAAGGAAAAAGGTAATCTTTTATCTAGGTTACATGTTAAAAGAAAATCACTTTTGACAATACGTAAGTGATGGCTGAGTGGGAGGTTTAACTTCCGAAATGAAATTATCGTTGAAATATTACAATGAGAGAAAGCCTGCAAAAACACAACAAATGTGTCATAGTTACCGTGTTACCAATGCATCTCAAGAAATGTAGATTATTCTTGTATGTGTTCATCCTCTAAGATGTATCAAATGTCGCAGTCGTCACTGAATCATGTACTGTAACAGTTACTTAAAATGACTGGCCCCACTGCTATGCGATGGCTAGTTGACAGGATGACGTGCCTTATATTTACAGAATCGTCCTCTGAATCTTCAGAATCGACAGAAGAAACTGAGATTAAGGAAAAAGGTAATCGTTTATCTAGGTTACATGTTAAAAGAAAATCACTTTTGACAATACGTAAGTGATGGCTGAGTGGGAGGTTTAACTTCCGAAATGAAATGATCGTGGAAATATTACAATGAGAGAAAGCCTGCAAAAACACAACAAATGTGTCATAGTGTCCGTGTTACCAATGCATCTCAAGAAATGTAGATTATTCTTGTATGTGTTCATCCTCTTAGATGTCTCAAATGTCGCAGTCGTCACTGAATCATGTACTGTAACAGTTACTTAAAATGACTGGCCCCACTGCTATGGGATGGCTAGTTGACAGGATGACGTGCCTTATATTTACAGAATCGTCCTCTGAATTATCAGAATCGACAGAAGAAACTGAGAGTAACGAAAAAGGTAATCGTTTATCTAGGTTACATGTTAAAAGAAAATCACTTTTGACAATAGGTAATTGATCGCTGAGTGGGAGGTTTAACTTCCGAAATGAAATGATCCTTGAAATATTACAATGAGAGAAAGCCTGCAAAAACACAACAAATGTGTCATAGTGTCCGTGTTACCAATGCATCTCAAGAAATGTAGATTATTCTTGTATGTGTTCATCCTCTTAGATGTCTCAAATGTCGCAGTCGTCACTGAATCATGTACTGTAACAGTTACTTAAAATGACTGGCCCCACTGCTATGTGATGGCTAGTTGACAGGATGACGTGCCTTATATTTACAGAATCGTCCTCTGAATCTTCAGAATCGACAGAAGAAACTGAGATTAAGGAAAAAGGTAATCTTTTATCTAGGTTACATGTTAAAAGAAAATCACTTTTGACAATACGTAAGTGATGGCTGAGTGGGAGGTTTAACTTCCGAAATGAAATGATCCTTGAAATATTACAATGAGAGAAAGCCTGCAAAAACACAACAAATGTGTCATAGTTACCGTGTTACCAATGCATCTCAAGAAATGTAGATTATTCTTGTATGTGTTCATCCTCTTAGATGTATCAAATATCGCAGTCGTCACTGAATCATGTACTGTAACAGTTACTTAAAATGACTTGCCCCACTGCTATGCGATGGCTAGTTGACAGGATGACGTGCCTTATATTTACAGAATCGTCCTCTGAATCTTCAGAATCGACAGAAGAAACTGAGATTAAGGAAAAAGGTAATCGTTTATCTAGGTTACATGTTAAAAGAAAATCACTTTTGACAATACATAAGTGATGGCTGAGTGGGAGGTTTAACTTCCGAAATGAAATGATCCTTGAAATATTACAATGAGAGAAAGCCTGCAAAAACACGAAAAATGTGTCATAGTGCCCGTTCTACCAATGCATCTCAAGAAATGTAGATTATTCTTGTATGTGGTTATCCTCTTAGATGTCTCAAATGTCGCAGTCGTCACTGAATCATGTACTGTAACAGTTACTTAAAATGACTGGCCCCACTGCTATGTGATGGCTAGTTGACAGGATAACGTGCTTTATTTTTACGGAATCGTCCTCTGAATCTTCAGAATCGACAGAAGAAACTGAGATTAAGGAAAAAGGTAATCGTTTATCTAGACTACATGTTAAAAGAAAATCACTTTTGACAATACGTAATTGATGGCTGAGTGGGAGGTTTAACTTCCGAAATGAAATGATCATTGAAATATTACAATGAGAGAAAGCCTGCAAAAACACAACAAATGTGTCATAGTGCCCGTGCTACCAATGCATCTCAAGAAATGTAGATTATTCTTGTATGTGTTCATCCTCTTAGATGTCTCAAATGTCGCAGTCGTCACTGAATCATGTACTGTAACAGTTACTTAAAATGACTGGTCCCACTGCTTTGTGATGGCTAGTTGACAGGATGACGTGCCTTATATTTACAGAATCGTCCTCTGAATTATCAGAATCGACAGAAGAAACTGAGATTAAGGAAAAAGGTAATCGTTTATCTAGGTTACATGTTAAAAGAAAATCACTTTTGACAATACGGAAGTGATGGCTGAGTGGGAGGTTTAACTTCCGAAATGAAATGATCCTTGAAATATTACAATGAGAGAAAGCCTGCAAAAACACAACAAATGTGTCATAGTTACCGTGTTACCAATGCATCTCAAGAAATGTAGATTATTCTTGTATGTGTTCACCCTTTAGATATCTATAAATGTCGCAGTCGTCACTGAATCATGTACTGTAACAGTTACTTAAAATGACTGGCCCCACTGCTATGCGATGGCTAGTTGACAGGATGACGTGCCTTATATTTACAGAATCGTCCTCTGAATCATCAGAATCGACAGAAGAAACTGAGAACATAGATATAGGTAATTGAAAGTTGAAAAAATATTAAACATCCTTTGTTTTGTCCATAATTGTTAGACTCTGTTGCAAGGTGTTATTGCCAATGTGTAAAATACTGTAGCAATAACACGATGGCGGACAAAAAAAAGAAAACTCTGCAGGTCTTCGCATCTTGCTATCCTGGAATCTGAAGAAAACAATAAAGGCATGATGTCATAAACCACTCCCTTTTTCATTCCGGAAAATATTCTACATGTTCTGTTTTAAGTATCCTTTTAAGTATCTACCAACAGTTTGTCAGGTGTAAAATGTTTGATGTTTCTCTCGTTCTCATTCAATGTGGTGGCTATCTGATATGATAACGTGATTTATTTGAGAACCATCATCCGAATCTTCCGAATCGACTGAAGAAAATAAGAGCAACGACGATAATAATCCTGTATTCAGGATTGATGTTGGAAACCGACTGCTTTGTTCATGAGTGAAAAGTGAATGTGATGTTTAATGCCCCTTTAGGGATTATTGTTACATTATTAGGGCAATGGAGGGAATGTCCAAATCTCTGTTTATTTATCAAACCACACAGAGAACGAAATACATCTTTATCACAATGTGTACAACTCGATTGACGGGCAAACATGTCAACTATGCAATTCCTAGAATCTTGCAACCCTGGTATATGTTCAGTGAGTGAGTGAGAACGTATGGTTTGACGCCGCTCTTAGTAATATTCCAGCAATATCAGGGCGGAGAACACCAGAAATGGGCTTCATACATAGTAACCATGTAGGAAACCCGTGACGAACAAACGCTTTAATCACAAGGCTAACCCAAGAATGGCTTGATAGCATCAACCACATGCATTTGACTTTCATTTTCACTTTCATCTAAACATCCTTTCTGTAAGTTTGTCAGGATGCCATATGCTCTATGTTTCCCTAGTTCCCGTACACTGTGTGGCCTTTCAACATGAACATATTATGTTTATTTTTTTAGAATCATCATCGGAATCATCCGTCAGACGAAAAAGAGAACGTAGAAGGTAATCGGTAATCTTACGTTAATGGGTGCAGTAGCAAAACTCGACTGCTTTTTGTGAAAGGACGATTGCACTTGTATAAACGTATCTTGTCATGTGATGTTGCTACCTTGAAAGATATATTCATCTATAAAATCAATTGATAATACACAATATTCATTAAGTCTATTAGATCCTCAATTCTTCATATACGCATCAAGATTGCTTTGAAATTACCGCGTTGTCAAATATATGGCCAGTTAAAGGTTTTGACATCTGCTAAGGAACATGAGAAAGTGCAACAATAACATAACGCCAGACAAAAAGGAAGAAAATACAAATTCTTCTCCCTTTCTACTGCAGCACACCCGTGAAGATCCGCGGTAGAATAGGTCTTCAGCAACCCATTCTTGCAGTAAAAGGCGGCTATGCTTGTCGTAAAATGCAACTAACGGAATTGGGTGGTCAGACTCGTTGACTTGGTTGAAGCATGTCATCGATCCCAATTGTGTGGATCAATGCCCATGATATCAATCACTGGATTGTCTAGTGCAGACTCGATTATTTACAGACCGCCGTCATACAGCTTGAATATTGCCGAGTGCGGCGTAAAACAAAAAACAAACAAACCACTCAAGCATCTGGAAAACAAAAGTAATCTTGATATAATCAGATGATAAGTAGACGATTTGGTCACATTTTCAAGTCGTGTTTAGAACAAGAACTATGATGAAATATAAAATTACTGTAGGAATATGGTATAATGGTATAGTAAATGGAATAGTATGCTCGTGATAGATATAACATATGTACCCCTGTATATGTACGAGTCAACAATACCCGTGAAGATCCGGGTTAAAATTAGCAACCCCTGTATGTACTAAGAGGCGACTGACGAGATCGGGTGGGCAAGCTCGGTGATTTGGTTGATGCATGTCATCTTGTCCAAAATGCGTTTATTGATGTTCATGATGTCGATCACTGGATTGACTGGTCCACACTTGATTATTTACAGATCGCTGTTATATAGCTGGAATATTGTTGACAAACAAACATGAATCATCAATGTATGTCCAAGATGGAGTTTCTGGTCTTAAAATCAATTCTCTTTTTCAGCGAAATTTGCATAGAGGATGGAACACTGCTTGGAAACCTGCCTTTATCAACTGTGCAGAAATATCGACCGATAGCATTTCAATTGTATGTTTTATAGAATAAAAAGTTCGTGACAATGTGTCTTTGTGTAACATTATGTGACAATCTATGGCGTTTCAGTCAAGGTTCCCAAACCCTTGAATAGGCAAAAACATGTTTGTCAGTTCCCAGAGAATAATGGGAATCTTCTCTGAAAACATGCAGACGGTATCCTCCATATACCGTGATGAAGGTAAAGTGGATCATTGGCCGGATGTAATTGTGACAAGGACATAAATCGCTAGCCCTATGGCAGCCGTATAACTTTAAAATCGTGTGCTTCGGCAAACCGTGTTTCATTACTTTTACTTTTAAACTGCCCTGATGTGAGCAACATTCCACTCCGTATGGGTACAGTGACACACCAAACTCAAGTCACCCACCTTCCCTACCCGTGTGGGTGCGTGGGTGCGTGCGTGAGTACGTGGGTGCGCGGGCGTGTGTGTCCCTAATCTCATTCTTTGAAAAAGATAAACCATCAGAAATGATGATTTACACAAAAAATAGAATAAGGAGTAAAGGAGTCCTATTCTCTGCAAGGTGGTTTAGAGAGAAGTTAATGTGAGAAGTGACAATGTTACAGGGGTGGGTGGGTGAATGCTTTTGCACAAAAACAATGTAAAAAAAATGCCAATAGGCAATCGAAACTGAACCAGACAACTGATGGTTGGTCGTATTGGCAACGATACACACAATCGACGACACGTCACACAATCATGCAGGTCACATGAGTGCAGTTTTAATGTGTTTATGCTTTAATGTCATCTACATCAATGATCTGAAATCGTTCAATAATCATCAATAAGCATATTCCTTCCACTGAAATAAAGGAGATAAATGAGAACGTCTCGTCTTTCTCATATTTAGATCTATGCATACAGATTCTGCATGACAAAACACTCTCCACAAGACAAGACAAAGAGATGACTTCAACTTTCCAACAGTCAACTTTTCCTATATGTCGAACAATATTCCTGCAGCTCAATCCCTTGGTGCCTACATTTCACAACTTTTGAGGTACAATCGATGTGCAGATATAGACATTGTAATTATAAATTAAGGAGTTCTTTTGATGATCTGAATGCTCATTTTTGAACCACAGGGGCAGCAAAAACTCATGGCATGATTGTCTTGCTTTGCCACATCGTCCCTTAAGGTTTGGTTACCTTCGTCATGACCCTCATGTTCTTCTCTCGATTATCTTGATCGAGATTATGGATAACATTTAAAGAATGGCCATCGTAAGGGATATGAAGAAATATAGAGAATAGAATGCGTGAATAAGTATTGTTTTCCGCCGCTTTAAGCAATATTCCAGAAATATCACGGGGGACACCAGCAATTGACTTCACCCAGGGTAGTATAAGTGAAAGAGATTCTGGTACTTACAAATAAAGAGAAAGACTTGAGCAGTTTCAATGTATCAGCCAAAACATTTCTCAGCATAATTGATAAGAGCAATTGAGCTGATGGTGAAACTTGGAGTGTTCAGTCCATCAAGATAACATCGTCCCAGTTCAAATAATATTAAGTCAACGCAAGAGAATAAACAAATTCGATTATCTGCCCAAACATTTGGCGAAGAAAGGCAAAATAGTGAAGAAAAGTATATGAATGGATCACTGAAGATCAGTGATGACACCATCGACTCTTAACCAGACAATCCAGTGAAACGATATCTCATTTACTGATTTTGTTGAAACTTTCAACGATCTTGTTATTTTGAATTACGTCTAGTGAAGAGACTCTGCTACTTGTTGAGTTAAGATCCAATTGTGTCATCACTGATTTACATAATAATATCACTAGATTATCTGGTCCTGACTCGATCAAATTGGCTACTAGTTCAGGCGACAGGCTACCGATAGAGTAGGAAATACTTCCCCTTTTCTCATCACTTGGTCGATGTTTCTGCTGGTGGACTGAAGTCATCATAAGTTCAGTAGCATTTATCAATTATGCTGCGTCAGCGACAAAGGAGATGTTTTGGCCAAGACATAAAAAAACCGTTCCCATTGTGTTGAAAAACGAACGTTTTTCCTTCACTGATGAGTAGCAGAATCTCTGCACTTGTACACTTCAGACGCATGTCGCATATGTAGATTTGTAGATTTTCGCATTAAGCTATGGAAATGTTTACGAAAAGCTGGTCTACGTGGGAAAATGTTTGCTATTCTAAAATCAATGTATTCTAATGTGAGATCATGTGTTCGTTGTGGGGATGGTGTAACAGATATCTTTGATTGTCCTTTGGGCCTAAGACAAGGCTGTATTTTGAGTCCGATCTTTCTTTCACTTTGTATTAATGAATTATATCACGAAATAGCTGCCAGTGGTAAACATGGTATCCAAATGTTTCCAGATTTGATAGAAATATTAATGCTACTTTTCGCAGACGTCGTCATTTTAGTGTCAGATACTGTTGTTGGTCTTCAAAGGCAATTAAATATTTTAAGTACATGCACGAAAGAATGGAAATTATCAGTAAATTTGGAAAAAAACACTAAAATTGTCATCTTTACAAGAGGTGGTCCAATATCGTCGAAAGAAAGATGGTCATTCGATGGTCAGTCAGTCAATATAGTAGATCACTATTCATATTTAGGAATCTGGTTCTCACACACAATGAAATGGAAAAAACGTTCCCTTGACTTGTCCTTGCGTGCAAAGAAAGCTTTAATAAGTCTAATGTTTATTGCTAATAAAGTTGGAACGATGTCCCCTAATATCTTCTTTAAGCTTTTGGATGCCCAAATACAACCAATTTTATTGTATGGTTCTGAAGTATGGGGATTTCAACGTTATGACTGTTTAGAGAAGGTTCACTTATTAACATGTAAAAGGTTTCTTTGTGTCGGATCTTCTTCACCAAATTGTATGGTTTATGGTGAATGTGTGAGATACCAATAATATATTAAATCCCAGATTAGATGTTTACAATACTGGTTTAAAATCCTTCATATGCATGAACAACGTCTCCCTAAATTAGCTTATAACATGCTTCTACATTTAGATAACATGGGAAAGAATACTTGGACATCGCATATAAGAAATATTTTATTTTCGCATGGTTTTGGTTTTATATGACTGTCAATCAGTTGGAAATGTAAATATGTTTCTAAATGAATTTCGAAATTGATCTATAAATGTGTTCTACCAAGAATGGCATTCCACTTTAGAAGATAGTTCACGTTATGAATATTACAATACTTTCAAGACTTTGCTTCAACAAGAAATACATTTATCAGTACTCACTACGGAAAACCTAAGAAAACATTTAATTAAACATCGACTTGGTTTACTAGACCTATTTGTAAATGAAGAAAGACATCTGTCCATTGAAAAACTGAAAAGAATTTGATCATTATGTAATCTTGAGTGAGAAAATGAAATTCATTTTGTGCTTGTTTGTCAATTTTACAATGATCTTCGAACGAAATACATAAATGATTATTTAATAGCAATGTCACCGATAAACGCCTTTGTAGTTATTCTGACGACAAAGAACGAATCTAATATATTAAATCTTTCTATATATATTAAGCATGCATTAGCCAAAAGAAATGAATTAATCAAAGAACGTGTATCTCCCAATGTGGAACATTTATGATTGTATCTACATGCGTAACTCTCTTTTGTATGTGGGCCGGAGGCCTTTTGTAAAATAAACTTCTTTTGACTTTGACTAAACATCAGACGGGATTCGAAATTGATTGTATGGTTTGCTTGTTTGCTGCATTTATATACGGTAGAGCAGGAATTGCTTTCTCTTTTGACTGATTTCTTGTTTATCCCTTGATTTACATGCCGCCGCTGCATGGCAGGAGTACTGATATGTACAGGCAACCCGTGAAGATCCGTGGTAGAATTGGTCTTTAGCAGCACGCGATTATTTACAGATCGCCGTTATATAGCTGAAAGTCTGAAACAACAAAGTGACAAACAAACACACAAACTGTGTACAGACAATACACAAATACTTTTTGAAAGTTTCAGTGAAGCCTTGAATGTTGTTACCCTGATCAAACAACTTTGGAGCACGAGTCGTATGCCGCTCTTTGAAACTTTCGTAGAAAAAAAAGAGTATCCTTTACTGTACCTTACAAATTGTGAAAGTCACCTATCCAGCCATTGGACAAGGACGTAACTCAATCTTTCTATGAAGTCAGCACTTATTTACGCAAGACTTAGGACAGAAGGTAACTTACGGAATGAAAACACCTCGGAAAACTGAACTGCAAAAACATCCTGTACCCACATGTTTATGCTAATGTCAAAACTCCACAGGAAAACGCCACATACACAACACTAGAAAAACTATAACAAATCTGTGCAATAACACAATTTGGTAGAAGGATGACATAGAAGACCAGGGCTTCATTTACTCAAGAGCTCAATGTGACAATAATACATGTTCATGAAGAATTTATCATATGAATGTCGGTAAGTTAAATCTCTTCCTATTAAATCACAGTGCAAGGAAGGCGTTTTCAATAAATAAATACCATCAGGAACTATCTACAGTTGATAACTTTATACAAATGTAATAAATATATCTATATCATCCAATGCTTCATTCTGAGGTATTTTGAAAATACCTCTATTAGTGGCGTGATATCTGTAACTATATCTATTAATATATAAACGACGATAAGCGCAATGTACCACGGTTAAAATAAAAGATTATTAAAACATAAAAACAATATATTTATTAGTTATTTATTGATATGAGCATACACATTCAAAAGAAATGTGCTGTAACAAATAACAACTGGCTTCTGAATGGAAAGGCGATTTGATCAATTTAATACATTATACTCATAAGTATAAATAACATAAATTTTACTAGTGTTTCTGATCAGAAGCTAATTGTCAATTCAATATCAACATATTCATAAGTGAAGTGTGCTGACCAGCATGTTTTAGATAGGATATGTTATCTTTGAGCTGATTTCATGTGGTACTTTGTTACGAGTCGGCTTACCTTGTGTATTTGCTAAGATAAGAGGTTGGTTACTTTTATTCAGATGTAATGAATAATTGTCCTCCAGATGTTGCATTCGAAGAATATTTTGATAATAATGGCGTTATCTGCAGTACTATATAAATGCCCTGTTGATCAGAAAGATTCTAAGAATTCACCAGTTCACTTTCGCAGGTAAGTACGTTCCATGTGGGTTTTTTTCACAGTAGCTTTCGATTTTTTAACATCGTCGTCCTATACTGGAATACTAAAGTGTTGGTATGCTTGTGTTGACAAACATTTTTGAGTAAAGTATGGAGTTGGTCTCGTTTCACTACCTAAAACATATTTATTACAAAATGTCAATGTGTTTCAGTGCAAAATGATCGTACAGGTGTTGCTCTCCGTTCTCCTGGTGTCAGTCACTCTGACTGAAGGCAGACCTAGAGACCTTCAGTTGATAAAACGGGAAGCTTTTGAAGGTAACCATACGTTACGTTTCCATGACAATCAATACATTTCGAGTGATTCAGTAGCTTTTAATTGTCTAACAAAGCACTTTCTACGTTTATGTTATCATAAACCGAACAAAATTCGGCCAAATCACTGATGTCACTGATTTCGTATAATAGAAGAACTGTAAAACTATTGTCCCCCCTGAGAGGGTATGTAAGACCACATCATTCGAAGTAAGTTTATTCCAACTACCTTTTTAGTCGTACTATACCTGTTGTTTTTTTAATTGTGGCTAAACTTCTAGCCAGCAGCTGGAAGGATGATGTAAATCCTGCCGGGGAACCGTGCAGGTAACAGAAGTATCGTAAGTCCCCACGGTCCCAAGTATGGTGGCCTAAGTTTGGTTGCTGGCAATCCCTAGCCCGTTTTTATAATGTATTGTTTTTTATCGTGATATATTTTAATGGGTCCATACTGGTGAAACTCATAAAAATCAATCTTCTTCATTGTGTGACTTTGTAGCCATTTCGTCATAAGAAAACAAAACAGGAAATGTTATAAGAGTTCAAAGTCCTTATCTAAGAAAGTGTCATTGATTTTTGTGATACATTTTCTGTGCAGGTGTAAAGCATCATAGGTCTTCATCCCAGTGAGCGAAAGTTTTAACCATAAGTCAACACCAGGTCTTGTATAAGGCCCGTTTGTAAGGTCTCTGAACTATTTCAAACTTCAATGATTATTATTTTAGGGCCGTCAGCAGCCGTGTTATCTGAATCATCTTCTCGGTCATCCTCGTCATCATCCTCAGAGACGACCGAGGAAAATGAAGGTAATCCTGAACTTAGACTCGAGTGATCTACAAACTTCTCTTTTGTCAAAGGGCTCTTTTGGTACCTGCACAGCATGAATAACAAACTAAGAGAGTAAAATCACTGTAATTACAGGTATGGCCAGTGAAACTGACCGAAAGTAGGTAGATGGTGTTGTGACGCGTGTATCGCAACCCCCTCACCTGTAGGTTTCCCCAAGTGCTAAAAGTATTATACCAGCGTCCCTTGCGACTTTCCTCTCACAACAAAGTGAATAACTGAAAAACTGCTTTTGTATATAAATTGTCAATGCAAAGAATAACCAGCCTAGATTTTCTGCCGAAACAGATTAAGCAAGGTTAGAGTCGGCTTCGCCATCTGGGTCATCTTCGCTGACAGAAGAACAGGAGTGCAATGAATTTTTTCTTAAGGCTATTTGTTTTGGCCATAGACCAGTATTTCAGCAACATAACAATAGATGGCTCCAAATAAACCGGTTAACCACGTTCTTCATCAACGCTTGACAAACCAAACCCAGTAGCTAGACGTGAATGGACCTTTGAAATCTCTGCAAAGGTTGCAGTCGTAAACTTTTCATGTATACTGAACACATCTTTTTGTCTCTTTACCACTATGCCAGTTTGTTATTCTTCCTATGTCATGTCAAAATCCTCTCTCTCTGTCTTCAAGATTTTTAAGTTTCTACCATCAGTTCAACAGCGTAAAATTTGCTCTGAATTTCTCTTTATTGCATATGCTCAAAGGTGGCTCTTTGATAAATGTACGTGATTATCAATTTCAGAATCGTCTTCTGAATCATCCTCGGGGTGGGGGATATCTTAGGATCCCGTGGGTGTTCCATTATTCAAACATTCTTTATTCTTTTCTACCAAGTTTCTACCACATATGAGTAGCATATGTGCACTATTTCTTCTCCTTCATTCCTTTGTCATGCGATGGCTATTTTGTGATATGTTAATGTCATGTTGATCTTTAGAATCGTCTTCTGAATCGTCAGAATCGACAGAATATGCATCATGTCTCTCATACTTCCTTTGTTATAAATTCACCTTTTCGCGAACACCCGGTATCATCAGTTTTTGATAATGATTCATAGACACATGCTCATGATACTCGTATGACTATAGAGAGGGCATGGGCGCTTTTATTTGCTATATAACAGCTAATTGATACGTTAACATGATGTTTATAATAAGAATCGTCCACCGAATCATCAGAATCTTTGAGAGCAAAGATGAAGGTAATTGCATGTTGAGGTACTAGCATCTTGCTACCCTGACATCTGAAACACCCAATAATAGCTTGATAGCATGAGCAACTCACTTTTGACTTCCATTCAAGGAACTTCTGAAAACATCTACAAATGAACAAATCATAAAAAAAAAAAAAATAACTACCTTTTTATGACTAAGATCATGTTTGGATAACATAACCAATTGCTGCCTTTGGTCCTATTCCACACAATGAATGCCGAGGGGGGAGAAGGCAGACTGGGCGCTGTCCCGATCGTTGAAATTGAGCAGCACGTCAAACAAAATAGGAACTTGTTTTACCCCAAGTTGCGGATTTTTTTCTTTGGGGTACTATTTAGCCTGTCAATTTTTTCGTTGTATTGTAGGCTATTTCCCTTTTTCCAGATTTATCTTTGGTCAAACATTTGTTATTAGGAATTCACAAAAGTATGAAAAATTGCGAAGTTGCTTGTTGAGCTAGCCTTTTAATGTGATGTTTATCCTCAGAAAAACCTGCTAATCATGTTCTGGCTTCTGTTTATCCCACAATGCAGAGGACCAGATACAAACTTGATAGAAAAAGAATATACAAATCATGAATGGATCCTTTCAAGTATATATAATAGTTGCAGTCATATGTGGAACACAGTTATTTGAAAATGAGTCTCTTAGCAAGTGCTACCTCCTTTTTTCATTTTATGAATCAACCATCAGAACTTAAGTGAAACAGATTATCTACGTTTGTCTGTATTTATTTGTTAAAGCCTAAGCATTTGGTATGTGAATGTGATAATTTATTTCATCTAGAATCATCTTCGGAATCATCCTCTGGGTCATCTTCGTCATCATCCTCAGAATCGACCGAAGAAGACGAGAGCAATGATGATGGTAATCTTTGATAAGGTTTTATAAGCAAAAGTATCTTCAATAGCTGGAAACATAAACACTTGTAATGGTTATTACAAAATGATTGTCTTACCAGTATCTAGTCAGTGGTTCATACTTTATTTCATTTCTTTTCTGTTTTATCCTTTCATGCATCTCGTCACGATATGGCTGAAATATTGACAATGTGACGCTAAATATTAACTCACTCACTCACTCACTTTCATGCATCAACCATGTTTTGTTTGAGCATTTGATATGTAAATGTGATATGTTGTTGAATGTAGAATCATCTTCGGAGTCATCCTCTGGGTCATCTTCGTCATCATCCTCAGAATCAACAGAAGAAAACGAGAGCAGTACCGAAGGTAAACTTTGATTAGGGTTTCATTAACAAAAACACGACACGTTTGTCATACAGTCCTGTTAGCCTTGCATCTCAAGTAATTAAGACTATTCTTCCATGAGTTCATCTTTTAGACATCTACACTTGGTGAATCAATAAACTGGAAACAGTTCAACGGAATGGCTTCCTGGTCACACTAATTTATCCAGCGACGACAGACTTTAGGCAATGTCATAGCATATGTGGTCAGTTAAATGAACTTTATAGATTGTGGAAGACTCAACTATTAAACTGAAGAAATATGGATTCACATATAAAACATAACCAATACTTCACTCTGTTAAATCTGTTACAATTAGAGTCATCCTCTGAATCATCCTCTGGTTCATCTTCGTCGTCATCCTCGGAGTCAACAGAAGAAGTGAAGCGTGATGCTGAAGGTAATCGTATCGTTAATATTTAGGTTGTAGTTAATGTTCAGATTGAGAGGCCTGTTATGTAGCTAATCTAGTGCTACTTGACACGTAAGAGACGAAAGATTCTATCATCTAAACTGAAATGTTTGGAAAGACATGTCCTTGGTGTTGAAAACTGTTGTGAAATGCCAATTGTTATCTAATTATCTGAATAAATTGAGGAAGAATGGGGAAAAACACATTGGGTTTTATAATGATGTCAACGGATCCAAATATAACTTTGGAAGAAACACTCTTTTGCATAACCACGAGATGATTTGAGTGTGTGGGCGTTTCCTAACCGCAAAGGACCACTAGTTTAGTTAAGATATCAATACTGATAAGAATGAAAAAGAACATATTCTTATACAAACTATTTAAGCTCCTTTTTCAGAAAAGAAACAATGGACAGAAATCGTTTACTTCATGTGAGTTCCTCTGAGCTTAACCTGGGCTATATTTAATTAGGACATCATGGCCAGCAAGAAGTGTGTTCTACAACCTGGTTAATCCGCAATCTTGAAAAACAAATAGCAGCTTATTAGATTCATAAACACTATTTTGCCTTCCATTCATGGAAGGTTGAAATATCAAGAGATCCTGGTGTCATCAACTCTTCATTATCGAACAAAATTATTTAGAAATAGTTATCTTTTGGCGTCAGGTAGGCCACGATTATTTTCCCTTTCTACCTTGTTTGTTATCTTTTTATTTACCTAGCACAAGCTCGTCATGGTACCATATGTTCTTTGTTTATCTATGCATTCAAATGTCATACAATGGCTAGTTGACATGTTGACACGCTTAGTACTTATAGAATCATCCTCTGAATCATCAGAATCGACAGAAGAAGATGAGAGCAATGATGATGGTTATCGTGTATCTAGGTTACATGTTAACAGAAAATATCTTTGACAATAATTGAGTCAATATCTGAGTGGGAGGTTTAATGTCCGCAATAACATTATCATTGGAATATCACAATGAGAGAAAAACTGCTGAACATGTTCTGGCTACTGGCTATCCCACATTACATACAAAACTTTGATTGGATAAACCATACTCTTCAGCCTTCCATGGATGGATCCTTTAAATTTCTACAAATGTTGCAGTCATAAACCCTTTCTACGTGGAAAGTGGTTATTTTAAAACGAGTGTCTTACCAGTATGCTGGCCATAGCTATTCCCTTTCTATATATTTTCTCTTTTATCCTTTCATGCATCAACCATTGGATGTTTAAGGAAACATGTGCGTGTGTCTATGTTCTGTTCATTTGATACGTGAATGTGATAATTTCTTGAATTTAGAATCATCTTCGGAATCATCCTCTGGGTCATCTTCGTCATCATCCTCAGAATCAACAGAAGAAGACGAGAGCAGTACCGAAGGTAAAGCTTGATAAGGGTTTCATTAACAAAATCACCACACGTTTGTCATACAATCCTGTTAGCCCTGCATCTCAAGGAATGAAGACTATTCTTCCATGAGTTCATCTTAAAGGATATCTCCAATAGTGGCAGTCGTCCCTTATCAATAAACTGGAAACAGTACAACAGAATGGCTTCCTGAGTACAGTAAGTGGTGGTCAGTTAAATGAACTTTATAGATAGTGGAAGTCTCAACTATTAAACTGGAGAAATATAGATTCACATATAAAACATAACCAATATTTCACTCTATTAAAACTCTTCAATTAGAGTCATCCTCTGAATCATCCTCTGGTTCATCTTCGTCGTCCTCCTCGGAGCCAACAGAAGAAGACGAGAGCAATGATAAAGGTCATCTTTGACAATGCTTCGCAAAAACAATCCTTTTAAGGATCTTCAATAGCTGGAGCCATAAACATTTGAAATGGTTGTTTAAATATAACGCAAGTGTGTGATCCATACTACTTCTAATAATAATAATTGATTTGTAAAGCGCCTAATATCCATCAACAGTTGCTCACTGGCGCTGTGACAAAGTTAAAATGCAATGTCTATGTACATATGCCAACAATCAGGAGATCTATTGAAAAGCTGAAGTGAAGAAGTGGGTTTTGAGGAGAGACTTAAACGTTTCCTTAGAAGCAGAGTTTCTCAGATTCAAAGGCAAAGAGTTCAATAACTGTGGACTGCAAAAGGAGAAGGCACGGTCAGACATAGCAGAATTAGACAGAGCCTGATACAGTAGAGTTCCATCAGAGGATCGGCGAACACGCTCTGGGGAGTACAGGGATATAAGATCTTTGAGATAGTCTGGATAGTCGCTATTGTTGAGGCAGTCGTGAGTGATGATACATATCTTATAGTTTATACGAAAGGAGACTGGAAGCCAATGTAGTGCTTTGAGGACAGGACTGATGTGATTGGATCTTGGAACTTTAGAGATACATCTAGCTGCAGAGTTCTGAATGCGTTGTAGCTTTGATATGGCTTTCATGGGAAGATTAGCATACAATGCATTGCAGTAATCCAGTTTGGAGGTCACAGGACATTGCATCAACAATTTAACTGTTGGAGTATCAAGTAGATGGCGGACTTTACTGATGTTATAGATGCTATGGTAGCATGCTCTGCTGGTTAGTGAAATATGAGTGTCCATGGTCATTGTTAAATCAAAGGTGATTCCCAGATTACGGGCCCTGGCAGTTGGGTACACAGTGGTATCACCAATATGAAGGTATACAGAGTCAGGGTGAAGCTTTCTGACTTGCTGTCGCGAATCAAGGATTAAAAATACTCTTTCTTCATTTTTCACATATGATCTAGGTTCGTCTATATTTCTCCGATATAGTTTGATCATTTTATATCATTTGATATGTGAATGGGATATGTTGTTGAATGTAGAATCGTCTTCCGAATCATCCTCTGGGTCATCTTCGTCATCATCCTCAGAATCAACAGAGGAAGACGAGAGCAGTACCGAAGGTAAACCACTATAAGAGTTTCATTAAATGAAACAGGACAAATATGTAATACCACTGTATCTCAAGAAAGGAAGACTATTCTTCCATGAGTTCATATTTTTAGATATCTACAAATGCCACAGAATCGTATACTGTTACTTTAGAATAACCTATCCTACACTACTATGTGGTGGTTAGTCGAAATGATGACGTGCCTTATATTTACAGAATCATCCTCTGAATCATCAGAATCGACAGAAGAAAGCGAGAGAAACGATGAAGGTAATTGCAAGTTGAGGCTCCATAGTAAAAATCATCTGTGTTGTCCATAATTGTTAGAATATGTACAAGGTGTTTTTGCCAATGTGTAAAATATTGCAGCAATAACACGATGTCGGACAAAAAGGACAACTCTGCAGGTCTTAGCATCTCGCCATCCACTAATGGTATGATGGCATAAACCACTCAAACCTTTTTTCATTCAGGAACATATTCTACAAATTATGTTTTAAGTATTCTTTCATGTATATACCAACAGTTTGTCAGGTGTCAAATGCTTGATGTTTCTCTCGTTCTCATTCAGTGTGGTGGCAACTTGATATGATAAAGTGATTTATGTTTAGAATCATCATCCGAATCTTCCGAATCGACAGAAGAAAGTGAGAGCAGCGATGAAGGTAATCCTGTGTTAAAATCCTATGGTTTAGCTATTAATGAGAAATGAGTGAGATGTTTGATCCTCTTGTCTGGCAAAGTATGTCCAATCCTTTATTTAACTCACACCAAGCAGAGAACCAACTTTGGCATTCTTATATCAGGATAAAGCATACAAATATACTATGTTTCGCTATTTTGCAGTTGCAGGCATCAACCGTTCATATTTTGGTTATGGTTATTTGAAATATTTTCGCTTCCACTTAGCTAGCTTGTATTTCATATGTTGTTGCATACTTTATCCACACTAAGTGTGTAAGCTTTTTATTTCGCTATATCTTCATGACATAATATAATCATTTGATTTGTGAACCTGACTTACTGATTTTAGAGTCATCTTCTGAATCATCCTCTGCCTCATCTTCATCTTCGTCATCCTCCTCAGAATCGTCAGAAGAAAAGGAGAACGAAGAAGGTAACCTTACGTTAATAGGTGCATTAGCAAAACACGACGAGACTGTGATAGCATTTTGGTACATCGGCCTTTTGAGAAAGGATGACTACTTCTATTAACGTCTATTCTGTTATGCCTCAACAAATGTTGCTACCCGTGAAGATTAGAATTCAACAAAACCAAATGTTGCAGTCATTAATTACATTGCCGACTATGATATCGTGATAGATGACATATGTATCCCTGACCGCCTCCATGGTCTAGAGTTAGAACGTCCGTCCGGTCGCGTCCGGTCGCGTCATACAAAAAGAAGTTAAAAGATGGTACTTGTTTAACTAAACAAGGACTGGTCGGCTCGGAGTCAGTAGACTGGTATTAATGTTCAACTGCGGCATGGTATCTCAGTGGGCTAGCACTATAAAATCGGCATTTGTAAAAGTAAAAGCAGCCACACACACACACGCACATGAATGCACGTCGCTATATAAGTGCAATAATCTCGGCGCGACTTTAACCCCATTTCAGCTCACCCTGTATATGTACGAGTTAACAATGCTGGGGTAGGTATTCAGCTCCCATGTTTGTCGTAGGAGGCGACTATGCTTGTCATAAGAAGCGAATAACAGGGTCGGTAGGTCAAGCTTGCTGGCTAGGATGATCCATGTGATTTTATCGAAATTGCGTAGATTGATACTCATGTTGTCAATCATTGGATTGTCTAGTCCAAACTCGATTATTTATAGACCGCCGTCATATAGCTGGAATATTGCTAAGTCCGGCGTTAAAGAAAAAAACAAAAAACAAACGAGTCAACAATGTCTGTCGAAGATGGAGTTTCTTGTCCCAAAATCAGTTCACTTTTTCAGCGAAATTTGCATAGAGGACGAAACACTGCATGGAAACCTGCCTTTATCAACTGTGCAGACAGACCAAATCAACAGATGGTATTTTAATTGTATGTGTGTATAGAATAAAAGGTTCGTGACAGAATGTGTCTTTGTGTGACATTATGTGACAATCTGTGGCGTTTCAGTCAAGCTTCCCACACTGTTGAAAAGCCGAAAACCTATTTGTTCCCAGAGAACGACGAGAATCTTCTAAGAAAATATGCAGAGGGTGTCCTTCAACATCGTGATCAAGGAAAAGTGGATCATTGACCGGATGTAATTGTGACATCGACTGATAAATCGTTAACCCCGTGGCATCCTATAACTTTTAAAATTATGTACTTCAGCAACCGAGTTTCAGTACTTTTACTTTGAAACCGCCCTGATGTTGTGAGCAACAATCCACGCCGTCGGGGTACAAAGACACACCATAAGCCAAGTCACCCACCTTGACTGCCCCTGTGCGTGCATGCATGCATGAGTGCGTGGGTGCGTGCGTGGAGGTTTGTGCATGATATCGATGATCTGATATCGTTCAATATTCATTAAATCTAACAGCCAATTCCCTGCCACTGATTTACCCTACTAGGTTAGAAATAAAGGAGACCCGTGAGACCGCCACGTCTGTTTCATATTCAGATCTATGCATAAAGATATGTCGAGCAATATTCATGCAGCTCAAGCCCTTGGTGTCTACATTTAAGGTACAATCGACCATCCTCTTTCTACCAATATTTCAAAGAACGTCATACTACTCTTGCTGAGAAGTTGTTTGATCAAGGTTACTACAAGGCCTCAGCTAAGCTTTCAAGATGTTGATGGCGGACAGTTCGAGGACATTTCCAAATTTGACGCATTAATGAATTTTTGAAAGCTTTACTAACGATTTGAATATTGCAACCCTGATCAAACAACGTTTGAGCAAGAGTCGTATAACGCTTAGTAAAAAGAGTCATCTAAAAACCAACCATCTGACAATGTCGTAATTCAACCCTTCTATGACGCCAACACCAATTTACGCAAGATTTACGATAGAAACTCACTTACGGAATGCCATGGACCACAGGAAAACTGAACTACAAAATTAGCCTGTACCCACGTGGTTAACGCCGCATTCATACACCAAAAATCAAAACTACAACAAATCTGTGGGATAACATAGTTTCGCCGAAGGATGAAATACAGGGCCAAGGTTTAGTTTATCAAGAGCTCGATGTGACAATAATGAATGTTCATGAGTGAGTGGGTGAGTTAAGATTTATAGTCACATCGGCAGTCAATCAATCTCTATTTCAAGTACTGAAAAGGCCATAGGCCTATAGTACATATATACATACAGTAGCAATGGGTGCAATAAGAATTACATATATCGTAACAAAATATCACATCTATAATGCAGAGGATCTGATGTTCATTGCATGATATAAATACATTGAAAGATATTTTGTGACTGTTTCATTTTGGGATGACATGAGGATATAAAATTTGTCTATTCTAGGATTCAGATAAAAATATTTATGTATGTATTCTTTTCTGATAATTGCATACAATGGACAGACTAGCAAAAAAATGGTGTTCATCTTCTATCTCTTGGCAAGTACAATATTTACACAATCTGTTTTCCCTTGGTATCGCTAAATGTCTACCTTTTTCTATTAGACTGACTGACTGCTTACCTCCCCTTGGTGGCTGGGTGCATGCTCGACAGCTCCAAAGAAAAATAGCATAATCCTTAGTATATATGAAGATCGGCTAAATCATACCACTCCACTTAAAGGGGCACTGATCTAACGCAATCCCCCGGGACTGGTTGTTGCCTTTGTTATTGTTTTTCCCCAGTGAGTACCCGGATGTATAGCAGAAATCTAGACTAGTTCGCGACCTCTGCTGCGCCTTTCGTAAGCGCATTAGTCACTTTTATGGATACCGGTAGTAATAAGGGCGTATGGTCACATTGATCAACAAAATGAAATACAGTTTTCGAGATAATAAGGAAATGTATGTATCTTTGTGGGTAGCATCGGTAATGGTGACGAAGTTTGGATAAGTCACTTGCTTGGTAATTTTGCGATTTTCGTTTACACTATTTTGACTTGCAACACAAAGTAAATATTTCACCTAAGCATTGCTTTTTTTATACTGTATATATTTTGTTACTGTCAAAATGTGTAACATATTTATTAAACGTCTAAATATTTTACAAAGTGACTGAAAAACATTTCCATCTGTATTATTATGATAACGAATTCCAAACATTTTGATGTTTAATGTCATCACCAAGAGACTGAAAATGTTACGTTGAAAAGTACATTTCTATGTTGTTTGGCTTCTAATCCTACATAATAATCTGTTGTGATGTTTGTAGGCCCTTTTGATCGTCTTAATCAATCTGGACAGATTTTTTAGTCAAAATGGCTGAAATATTTACACATTTTATAAATTGCCTGAGAGAATCACATTTTACAAATTGACGGTAATATATACACGCTTACAGAGGAAAAGACCTGTGAAAACAACGTCCATCGCGCATTGAAGAATTTCCCATCCAAGACGTAGAGAAACAAGAACGAATCGGTTCAAATGAAGGAAAACAAAATGCAAATACCATAGTTACAACCTACCAAATTTATGTGTATAAATTTTAGGCAGCTTCCTTGTTCGAGGAATGTATCCATGAATATCCACACAAAGGAACAATATCCCACTCGTCTGCAGCTGTACAAAGAAACTTATTCGATGTCACGTGTCTCTTTAACAATCAAATATTTTAAAAGATATATATCGTTTCGGGATATTATAACCCGTGTTCGTTTCTCAACTGATCACTTGGATTGTTTCAGGTGTTTCACATAGGTGTCAAGTCTCAAGGGTCGGCTGAGAAAGCCCACGTGACAACTATTTTCATAACTTCCACGGTTCCTACAAAATCCATTGAGTGATAGATAACAATGATCAATCAATCAACGTATTATCAGTTAACCCTTTGAACAAAGTATGTTGTTTTTACATCGGCACTTCACGTCATGATATGAGTGTATTCCCTTTGTTTTAGTAAACCTAGACATGTAAACACTCACTTTTGACATATCCACTGTGCAAGATAACAGTGATTAATCAATCAACGTATTTTCTGTTAATCCTTTGATGACTAGGAACGATCTGTTGATTTACAAAAAAAAGTAAATGAACTGATCATTCATCTCTTGCTGGTCAGCCACGTGCATATTACATAACACACATTTCACCTCACTATAAGCCTGGATTTAGATTGAATAAGTACCCCAGACACAATAAATGCCAAATGGGAACCTTTGTCAGCTACCACTAATTGTACCTGTAATAAATTCATTAACTGAGCATCAAGTGAATGACGACAAATACACAAGTGTAGGGTTAGACGAGAAAACGTGGATGACAACAAGGGAGTAGTAATCGTATTATCAACGCAATCCGAAATCCGAAAATGCTTTCACTGCATGGATACTTTTTTTAGTATTCAACTATAACCATCTGGGGTATTTCCAAATAACGACATCCGATGAGCTCCGCCGTTCTTTTTGTCTGTTTGTTTAGGCTGAAGAAATTAATTAACATGCGCCCTTTGTCGAAATCTTTATAGATCACAGTTAACCAATCAGTGTTTATGCAAAAATGCGTAAAACAAATATTGCCTCCAGCCTCCAAGTTTATTTAGCTGTCCTTGCAGACGGTAGCCCAGTCTCTGGTCACGCTCAGTTGCGTTGCGTATCATCCGGGTACTCACGGGGAAAAAAACAATAACAAAGGCAACAACCAGTCCGGGGAATTGCGTTAGATCAGTGCCCCTTTAATATCGATAGACAGATTTTCAAATTACATCAGAATGAAACATTGGGGGTTTATATATTCGTTACATTTGGATAACGTTATCAGCTTCTGTAAGAGTACCAGATGGTATTTATTCATTGAAAACATCTTTCCTTTCACTGTAATATAAAAGGAAGATATTTACCGACATCCATATATACTACATGATAAATTCTTCATGAACATTTATTATAGTCACATTGAGCCATCGAGTAAATGAAGCCCTGGTCTTCTATTTCATCCTTCTACCAAATGGTGGTATCGCACAGATTTGTTATATTTTTTTAGTGTGGTGTATGTGGCGTTTCCCTCTGGAATTTGGACATTAGCATAAACATGTGGGTACAGGATGATTTTGCAATTCAGTTTTTCCGAGGTGTTTTAATTCCTTAAGTTACCTTCTGTCTTAAGTCTTGCGTAAATAAGTGCTGACTTCATAGAAAGATTGAGTTACGTCCTTGTCCAATGGCTGGATAGGTGACTTTCACAATTTGTAAGGTAGTGTAAAGGATACTCTTTTTTTCTACGAAAGATTCAAAGAGCAGCATACGACTCGTGCTCCAAAGCTGTTTGATCAGCGTTACAACATTCATGGCCTCAGTAAACCTTTCAAAAAGTATGTGTTTGTTGCCTGCACATAGCGTTTCTCCTCCCACTATTTGGCTGAAAGAAAAAACGAATTACGTCTGATGTGTACAAGTGCAGAGATTCTGCTAGTTATCAGTGAAGGAAAAACGTTCGTTTTTCAAAACAATGGGAACGGTTTTAATGTATCGGTCCAAACATATCTTTTGTCGCTGACGCAGCATAATTGATAAATGCTACTGAGCTTATGATGACACTCGGAGACTTCAATCCACCAGCAGAAACATCGACCAAGTGATGACACCAAGTGTTCGCGAAAAGGGGAAGCATTCCCTACTCTATCAGTAGCCTGTAGCCTGTAGCCTGAACCGGTAGCCAATTTGTCTGTAAACAATCGAGTCTGGACCAGATAATCTAGTGATATTATTTTGTAAATCAGTGATGACACAATCGACACAGCAGAGTCTCTTCACTTGTAAGCAGCAGACGTAATTCAAAATAACAATATCGTTGAAAGTTGAAACGAGATATCGTTTTACTGGATTGTCTGGTTAAGAGTCGATAGTGTCACCACTGTATACTTTTTCATCACTATTTTGCCTTTCTTCGCCAAATGTTTTGGCAGATAATCGAGATTGGTTATTCTCTTGCGTTGACTGAATATTACTTTAACTGGGACGATGTTATATTGATGGACTGAAGATTCCGAGTTTCACCATCAGCTCAATAGCTATTATCAATTATGGTGAGAAATGTTTTGGCTGATACATTGAAGCTGCTCAAGACTTTCTCTTTATTTGGAAGCACCAGAATTTCTTTCACTTATACTACCCTGGGTGAAGTTAATTGCTGGTGTCCCCCGTGATATTTCTGGAATATTGCTTAAAGCGGCGTAAAACAATACTTACTCACGCACATGGTCATGTTAGATGACCATCTGTTTTGGAGTAACAGTTATTATTTTCAGGATTAGCTTTTGAATCCACGACTGGGATCGTTATCATCCTCAGTGCCTATTCTCTATATTTCTTCATATCCCTTACGATGGCCATTCTTTAAATGTTATCCATAATATCGATCGAGAGAATCGAGAGAAGAACATGAGGGTCATGACAAAGGTAACCAAACATTAAGGGGTGATGTGGCAAAGCAAGACAATCATGCCATGAGTTTTTGCTGCCCCTGTGGTTCAAAAATGAGCATTCAGACCATCAAATGAAGACCTTGATTTATAATTACAATGTCTATATCTGCACATTGGCATAACTACTTGGCGTATGTTTGTGACGGGTGCCACCAATGGGGCAGGATACGCTCACCTTTGGCGAACACCTTTTATCCTCACTATTTGACAGTGTCTCATGAACACATGCTTATGATATAGTCGGAAACGCAGAGATTTCTTATGATTATGGAATGCCCGCCGTCATATGGCTGTGATATTGCTGAGTGCGGCGCTAAGCAACAAAAAAACCCCAAAAACAAGATTATGGAATGAACTTTGTGGCTTTAATTTTATAGATATCCATACCATACCATACATACGAATATGTTTGACTCATATAGAAAGCTTGTACCTTGATGTTATTAGAAAGTGCATGTTTGGATAACAAATTGGACTACTATTTGTGATATCCGCACGTGAAATTACAATTAATTAAAGAAATAATGAAGATTATAATCCACAAATTATCTGCAGGTCCCCACACCACTTTCTTTGCGAGCATTATATGTCACCAACATCGCTACACATACACCAGTATTGAATCAATACAGCTCGATGCAATATGACGTCGGATGTAAGTGATCGAATATGGACAAGAACATGTTCGATTGTACCTCAAAAGTTGTGAAATGTAGGCACCAAGGGATTGAGCTGCAGGAATATTGTTCGACATATAGGAAAAGTTGACTGTTGGAAAGTTGAAGTCATCTCTTTGTCTTGTCTTGTGGAGAGTGTTTTGTCATGCAGAATCTGTATGCATAGATCTAAATATGAGAAAGACGAGACGTTCTCATTTATCTCCTTTATTTCAGTGGAAGGAATATGCTTATTGATGATTATTGAACGATTTCAGATCATTGATGTAGATGACATTAAAGCATAAACACATTAAAACTGCACTGATGTGACCTGCATGATTGTGTGACGTGTCGTCGATTGTGTGTATCGTTGCCAATACGACCAACCATCAGTTGTCTGGTTCAGTTTCGATTGCCCATTGACATTCTTTGTTACATTGTTTTTGTGCAAAAGCATTCACCCACCCACCCCTGTAACATTGTCACTTCTCACATTAACTTCTCTCTAAACCATCTCGCAGAGAATAGGACTCCTTTACTCCTTATTCTATTTTTTGTGTAAATCATCATTTCTGATGGTTTATCTTTTTCCATGAATGAGATTCGGGACACACACACGCGCGCGCACGCACGTACTCACGCACGCAATCACGCACGCACGCACCCACGCACCCACACGGGTAGGGAAGGTGGGTGACTTGAGTTTGGTGTGTCACTGTACCCATACGGAGTGGAATGTTGCTCGCATCAGGGCAGTTTAAAAGTAAAAGTAATGAAACACGGTTGCCGAAGCACACGATTTTAAAGTTATACGGCTGCCATAGGGCTTGCGATTTATGTCCTTGTCACAATTACATCCGACCAATGATCCACTTTCCCTTCGTCACGGTATATGGAGGATACCGTCTGCTTGTTTTCAGAGAAGATTCCCATTATTCTCTGGGAACTGACAAACATGTTTTTGCCTATTCAAAGGTTTGGGAACCTTGACTGAAACGCCATAGATTGTCACATAATGTTACACAAAGACACATTGTCACGAACTTTTTATTCTATAAAACATACAATTGAAATGCTATCGGTCGATATTTCTGCACAGTTGATAAAGGCAGGTTTCCAAGCAGTGTTCCATCCTCTATGCAAATTTCGCTGAAAAAGAAATTGATTTTGAGACCAGAAACTCCATCTTGGACATACATTGATGATTCATGTTTGTTTGTCAACAATATTCCAGCTATATAACAGCGATCTGTAAATAATCAAGTGTGGACCAGTGAATCCAGTGATCGACATCATGAGCATCAATAAACGCATTTTGGACAAGATGACATGCATCAACCAAATCACCGAGCTTGCCCACCCGATCTCGTCAGTAGCCTCTTAGTACATACAGGGGTTGCTAATTTTAACCCGGATCTTCACGGGTATTGTTGACTCTTACATATACAGGGGTACATATGTTATATCTATCACGAGCATACTATACCATTTACTATACCATTATACCATATTCCTACAGTAATTTTATATTTCATCATAGTTCTTGTTCTAAACACGACTTGAAAATGTGACTACATCGTCTACTTATCATCTGATTATATCAAGATTACTTTGGTTTTCCAGATGCTGGAGTGGTTTGTTTGTTTTTTGTTTACGCCGCACTCGGCAATATTCAAGCTGTATGACGGCGGTCTGTAAATAATCGAGGTTGCACTAGACAATCCAGTGATTGATATCATAGGCATTTATCCACGCAATTATCATATCAGATAGCCACTACATTGAATGAGAACGAGAGAAACATCAAACATTTTACACCTGACAAACTGTTGGTAGATACATAAAAGGATACTGAAGACAGAACATGTAGAATATTTTCCAGGAGGAAAAAGGGAGTGGTTTATGACATCATGCCTTTATTGTTTTCTTCAGATGCCAGGATAGCAAGATGCGAAGACCTGCAGAGTTTTCCTTTTTTGGTCCGCCATCGTGTTATTGCTACAGTATTTTACACATTGGCAATAACACCTTGCAACAGAGTCTAACAATTATGGACAATACAGAGGATGTGTAATATTTTTTCAACTTTCAATTACCTATATCGTTGTTGTTCTCAGTTTCCTCTGTCGATTCTGATAACTCAGAGGACGATTCTGTAAATATAAGGCACGTCATCCTGTCAACTAGCCATCACACAGCAGTGGGGCCGGTCATTCTAAGTAACTGTTACAGTACATGGTTCAGTGAAGACTGCGACATTTGAGACATCTAAGAGGGTGAACACATACAAGAATAATTTACATTTCTTGAGATGCATTGGTAACACGGACACTATGACACATTTGTCGTGTTTTTGCAGGCTTACTCTCATTGTAATATTTCAACGATCATTTCATTTCGGAAGTTAAACCTCCCACTCAGCCATCACTTATGTATTGTCAAAAGTGATTTTCTTTTAACATGTAACCTAGATAAACGATTACCTTGTTCCTTAATCTCAGTTTCTTCTGTCGATTCTGAAGATTCAGAGGACGATTCTGTAAATATAAGGCACGTCATCCTGTCAACTAGCTATCACATAGTAGTTGGGCCAGTCATTTTAAAGAACTGTTACAGTACATGATTCAGTGACGACTGCGACATTTATAGATATCTAAAGGTTGAACACATAGTAGAATAATCTACATTTCTTGAGATGCATTGGTAACACGGACACTATGACACATTTGTCGTGTTTTTGCAGGCTTTCTCTCATTGTAATATTTCAACGATCATTTCATTTCGGAAGTTAAACCTCCCACTCAGCCATCACTTCCGTATTGTCAAAAGTGATTTTCTTTTAACATGTAACCTAGATAAACGATTACCTTGTTCCTTAATCTCAGTTTCTTCTGTCGATTCTGAAGATTCAGAGGACGATTCTGTAAATATAAGGCACGTCATCCTGTCAACTAGCCATCGCATAGCAGTTGGGCCAGTCATTTTAAGTAACTATTACAGTACATGATTCAGTGACGACTGCGACATTTGAGACATCTAAGAGGATGAACACATACAAGAATAACCTACATTTCTTGAGATGCATTGGTAGCACGGACACTATGACACATTTGTCGTGTTTTTGCAGGCTTTCTCTCATTGTAATATTTCAACGGTCATTTCATTTCGGAAGTTAAACCTCCCACTCAGCCATCACTTCCGTATTGTCAAAAGTGATTTTCTTTTAATATGTAACCTAGATAAACGATTACCTTTTTCCTTAATCTCAGTTTCTTCTGTCGATTCTGAAGATTCAGAGGACGATTCTGTAAATATAAGGCACGTCAACCTGTCAACTAGCCATCACATAGTAGTTGGGCCAGTCATTTTAAAGAACTGTTACAGTACATGATTCAGTGACGACTGCGACATTTATAGATATCTAAAGGTTGAACACATAGTAGAATAGTCTACATTTCTTGAGATGCATTGGTAACACGGACACTATGACACATTTGTCGTGTTTTTGCAGGCTTTCTCTCATTGTAATATTTCAACGATCATTTCATTTCGGAAGTTAAACCTCCCACTCAGCCATCACTTCCGTATTGTCAAAAGTGATTTTCTTTTAACATGTAACCTAGATAAACGATTACCTTTTTCCTTAATCTCAGTTTCTTCTGTCGATTCTGAAGATTCAGAGGACGATTCTGTAAATATAAGGCACGTCATCCTGTCAACTAGCCATCACATAGCAGTGGGGCCAGTCATTTTAAAGAACTGTTACAGTACATGATTCAGTGACGACTGCGACATTTATAGATATCTAAAGGTTGAACACATAGTAGAATAATCTACATTTCTTGAGATGCATTGGTAACACGGACACTATGACACATTTGTCGTGTTTTTGCAGGCTTTCTCTCATTGTAATATTTCAACGATCATTTCATTTCGGAAGTTAAACCTCCCACTCAGCCATCACTTACGTATTGTCAAAAGTGATTTTCTTTTAACATGTAACCTAGATAAACGATTACCTTGTTCCTTAATCTCAGTTTCTTCTGTCGATTCTGAAGATTCAGAGGACGATTCTGTAAATATAAGGCACGTCATCCTGTCAACTAGCCATCACATAGCTGTTGGGCCAGTCATTTTAAGTAACTATTACAGTACATGATTCAGTGACGACTGCGACATTTGAGACATCTAAGAGGATGAACACATACAAGAATAATCTACATTTCTTGAGATGCATTGGTAGCACGGACACTATGACACATTTGTCGTGTTTTTGCAGGCTTTCTCTCATTGTAATATTTCAACGATCATTTCATTTCGGAAGTTAAACCTCCCACTCAGCCATCACTTACGTATTGTCAAAAGTGATTTTCTTTTAACATGTAACCTAGATAAACGATTACCTTTTTCCTTAATCTCAGTTTCTTCTGTCGATTCTGAAGATTCAGAGGACGATTCTGTAAATATAAGGCACGTCATCCTGTCAACTAGCTATCACATAGTAGTTGGGCCAGTCATTTTAAAGAACTGTTACAGTACATGATTCAGTGACGTCTGCGACATTTATAGATATCTAAAGGTTGAACACATAGTAGAATAATCTACATTTCTTGAGATGCATTGGTAACACGGACACTATAACACATTTGTCGTGTTTTTGCAGGCTTTCTCTCATTGTAATATTTCAACGATCATTTCATTTCGGAAGTTAAACCTCCCACTCAGCCATCACTTACGTATTGTCAAAAGTGATTTTCTTTTAACATGTAACCTAGATAAACGATTACCTTGTTCCTTAATCTCAGTTTCTTCTGTCGATTCTGAAGATTCAGAGGACGATTCTGTAAATATAAGGCACGTCATCCTGTCAACTAGCCATCACATAGTAGTAGGGCCAGTCATTTTAAGTAACTATTACAGTACATGATTCAGTGACGACTGCGACATTTGAGACATCTAAGAGGATGAACACATACAAGAATAATCTACATTTCTTGTGATGCATTGGTAGCACGGACACTATGGCACATTTTTCGTGTTTTTGCAGGCTTTCTCTCATTGTAATATTTCAACGATCATTTCATTTCGGAAGTTAAACCTCCCACTCAGCCATCACTTACGTATTGTCAAAAGTGATTTTCTCTTAACATGTAACCTAGATAAACGATTACCTTTTTCCTTAATCTCAGTTTCTTCTGTCGATTCTGAAGATTCAGAGGACGATTCTGTAAATATAAGGCACGTCATCCTGTCAACTAGCCATCGCATAGCAGTGGGGCCAGTCATTTTAAGTAACTGTTACAGTACATGATTCAGTGACGACTGCGACATTTGAGACATCTAAGAGGATGAACACATACAAGAATAATCTACATTTCTTGAGATGCATTGGTAACACGGGCACTATGACACATTTGTCATGTTTTTGCAGGCTCTCTCTCATTGTAATATTTCAACGATCATTTCATTTCGGAAGTTAAACCTCCCACTCAGCCATCACTTCCGTATTGTCCAAAGTGATTTTCTTTTAACATGTAACCTAGATAAACGATTACCTTTTTCCTTAATCTCAGTTTCTTCTGTCGATTCTGAAGATTCAGAGGACGATTCTGTAAATATAAGGCACGTCATCCTGTCAACTAGCCATCACATAGCAGTGGGGCCAGTCATTCTAAGTAACTGTGACAGTACATGATTCCGTGACGACTGCGACATTTATAGATATCTAAGAGAGGGAACACATACAAGAATAATCTACATTTCTTGGCCATTCTTGGGTTAGCCTTGTGATTAAAGCGTTTGTTCGTCACGGGTTCGATTCCCTACATGGTTACTGTGTATGAAGCCCATTTCTGGTGTTCTCCGCCCTGATAATGCTGGAATATTACTAAAAGCGGCGTCAAACCATACGTACTCACTCACTCAACAGATACCAGGGTAGCATTCCCTCAATCGCCCTAAAAATGTAACAATAATCCCTAAAGGGGTATTAAACATCACATTCACTTCTCACAGTCGATTTCTAACATCAATCCTGAATACAGGATTATCATCGTCGTTGCTCTTACTTTCTTCAGTCGATTCGGAAGATTCGGATGATGGTTATCAAATAAATCACATTATCATGTCAGATAGCCACAACATTGAAT